GTTTACATTCTAATTGCTGTGACGGTATTAACAATACTACTAATTATAAAAAAAAAAAGTTTTTTATTAAGGAAAATGATAAAGAGTTGGGCTAAATATAATGGAACTTTGACTCTTTAGCGATTAAACACACGTGGAGCCATCTATTTTCAAAGACAATAAATAAGTAAATGGTGACAGTCATTTGGATTACATGATAGCAGTATAATATATTGTGAAAAGTAAAAGTTAATACTTACTTGTATTATCTGCATCATTTCCATCGGTGATGACTTTTATATGCTGTCTGTGATGATAGTACGAAAAATAAAGCAAAACTATATATACTGTAATAAAAATAATTCATACGTTCTAAAATATATTTTATAATGTCATATAATTTATAACCTATTTTTGTGCTTATTTCCAAGATTACGTATCATGTTTTGAATAAAAAAAAATTATATCAATAACAGACAGATGGATGGAGAAAATTTTGTGCTTACAATTAGGGTAAGGAAGTTTTGGTTGCTCCTAATCGAAGAAAACGTGTGATGTTTATTTAATATAAAATGGAAGACTAGTGAAAATCTTCATCCATTTACATATGCATTCTCCTAAGGCAGAAAACCTCTAAAACATATGTAAAAATATATAAATATTTGAGAAAAAAGAAGCGTTTTGGTGATATAAGCTCACAGGAATCAAACATATTTAAATTGCGGGCTTCGAAATCAGCCAATGGAACATCTGAAATCAGGTACGCTTTCTTTGGCAGCAAATGCTCTTGGTAACACCTCAGATGAACAAAAATGGGGTGTTAGTTGATGACTCCATACATCCTAAAAAGTTAACTAATGTGTGTACGTCAGTAGAACTATGAACTGAAACTAGGTAGGCCTACTTATGCTCTAGCAAGTCCTGAAGCCCGCTATATCATCACACATTCATTAAACAGGGGATTAATGTTTTCTAATATCTATTTATCGGGGTTATTGAACTGAAAGTACATAGAAGATTCTTAAAAGGTCTATCTAAAATGCAAGTCTATTGGTATTTACTCACCTGGACTTAATTTCTTCCCGTTGATGTGTAGATTACTCTGATATTTATTTTGTGTAAAATATGAATAGACAAATGTTTGTATTTTCTTCTCCCAAACAAATATTTATAAGCAATATTCCTCAATTTATAGTATGCTTGTTATACATTTTTAGGATCAGATTCTGATCATTGTTTTATTTCTCTTAGGAAAATATTGATTTAAAAGGTACATATGTATCTATTTCTTTTGAGATTAAAATATATTCTACACAACGAAACCCACACACAAATTATTGTTTTAGCTTTCCTACATCCGAAGATCTGACGACAGAAAGGATTTTCTGCTTTTTGTGGGACTACAGGAAGAACAAACTAATATCTTTATATGTTTTATTATAAAAATATTATGAAACATGAGGGATCTTGAAATGCGTGACAATATAATGAAAATGTTACGAAAAAAACATGGCATTAACCTGCCCGTAAAATTCAGTCTATAATATGTTGATCGAATGCATGAAGAATATCACAGTAAATAGCATATATTTGTATAAATGCTTTGCGTAAGCACACTTACAAACACACACACACAAACAAGTCTACTTTCCGTATCTGTCCAAAACTGCACACGGGAGCATATTTTGATGATGATACTCTCCTCAAATAAAATGAATCAAGGAGATTCCTCCGCCCCCCCCCCAAAAAAAAAAAAAAACACTGCATTTCATCCATAAACGTCAGTTCCGCCACCGCCATCTTCTCGGTGTCTTTCAGTTGCCAGATTTTTCTCTTCCAATATACTGCTTCGATAGGAGGAACTATTTTTACATTCACTCATATTTTCTCGACTTTTCTGGGACTTAAAATAAGGAAAGTTTTTTTTCCACCTCTCAGAGACTTTGTGGAATGTCTTTATTTTCTCGATTTTAAGTCTCCCAAAGACCTAATGAAAGTCGTTATTTCCTCGACTTCCCGAAGACTTAAAAGAGGGTCGTTATTTTCTCGACCTCCAGGAAACAAAAGAAAGTCGTTATTTCCTCGAGTTCCCGAAGACTTAAAAGAGGGTCGTTATTTCCTCGACCTCTCAGAGACTTAAGGATGGTCGTTTTTTGTCCTTCCTTCTGAGGGCGCGCTTCCCCGCTGGTTCTTGGACGACCACGGTGGGTCTGAGGGTAGGCGAGGGTGGGTCGGAGCCTCTGCCAATTAAGGAGCCAATCATCCTGTGAATAAAGGAAACGAGTCAGTATTTTAAAGGAATAAGCGAAGGAGAGAAAAATTAGGAGAGAAGAACGAAAGAGTAAAAGGAGAGAAAGAAAGAAAAACTAACAAGCTCTTATGGTGTTCGCGAACAAAGGAAAATAAATGAAATAAGGGAAAACTACAAATAAAAAGAGAGTTGTTTCCAGATGAGGAAATGAAGCTCATTTATAAATTCGATGTTGTCACCAAAACGAGTCCCTGAGAGTTCATATAAATA